GTTGTGGATGTTGCCTTTTGATTTTCAGCAGCTATAGCTGCTTGTTTTTGTTGTAGTTCTTTTCTCTAAAAGAGAGCAATTAACTGCATTGCATGACAATACACGCAGCTAGGTTGCATAAATCAAAAATAGAATACTTGTTTGGGAATTACCATGCACCAAACTAGTTTCAGATAACAGTCAATAATTGAATATCTCCATTCTTGGTCTAGTATTCTGATTTGATCATTTTTATAGCAATGTAAATTTCAGTTCAAATCATTTTCACTACATATAAATAGTCAAAACATAGAGCAACTTACAAAAAGAGAAAGACGGGCACATAAATACTAGGAGTGTGGGGTACCAACCCACCTCAATCTTTAAAATTCTTTTATTAGTTGGAAATTTTGGGATAATTGGAAAAACACAGTTGCAATTCTAATGCTTATTAATATTGAGATAGCATAACATAAAGCTAATGCCCAGAATTTTCTCAATTCAGAAAGGAGATGACCAAGCCATATAAGTTTAAAGTTTTTTGAGTAAAGATTTATTACAATACTTGTAGAAAGACACAATTGGCTAATTGTGAGTTGGAAATCTTGTAAACTTCACCCTCAAAAAAATATATGTCAATTTACATCCTTCCAGAATGATAAGAGTGAAATAACTGGAGAATATGTATGAAGATGAATTTTTAAAGAGGATTTTTGAACTAGCAGGAATATTAGATTTTTGACTTTCAGTCACAAAAAGCCAATGACACTTCCTACTCCTATCACCAGTAGTGTCCATCTTAAAAATCTCAGACAGAAAAATTAACTTTATGCAAAATTGAGAAGTTATGCAAAAAAGCTATGATAGCAAATCTACATCACATTGTCACCAAAATACAAACACTCTTTTCTAAAACAACTATCTTATTGAAATTCAAGCTTTTATCACTGAAAATCTAAACATTTTCATAAAAGAATAGCCAAACAAAATTGGTAGGCTTGGTTCCATAAGAACATTTGATAAACATATAGAAAATTTGGCTTGAGAGGCCTGGAATTTCCTTGAACAGCATGGGCTAAATTTAAATAATAATAAAAAAAGACAATTTACCAATTTCTTTAGTAATGCATATTTTTCAAGCAAGGCTTGTTCATCTTCTGTAAGCTTTGCAGGAAGTCCCATTTCCAGTAGCAATCTGCAAGAATAAAGAATCTGAATAAATATAATACTTCGTTCCAGCAAAGAATGATGAACAATGCTAGTCTGACACATGCAAAGTGGCAACCTCTCTCTTTCATCTACAAGCAAAACATCAAAAAAGGATGAATAAGATTTACTTCAACAAAGCAGACCAATTACTTCTAGACCTATTTGAAAAAAATTACAACAAACTAGGCAATACAAGACTCTTTCAAATTCTAAATACCAAAATACAAATAAGAGGTAGGGAGGAGCAGTCTTCAGTACAGGGGCCCATTTATTAGGAATATGATAACATCATACATCAAACATTTAAATAAATCATGAACAAAGACCAATTCCAAAGAAAAACTCAAAAGGCTAGGTGATTTATTAAAAACCTTTTCCTTTAGAAAATAGGCAATATTGATATCCATCAAGGACACTTGCTTTTACTATTAAATTTAGAATATAACATTTTGATTTTTACTCTGCAGAAATTTAGATAAAGGGATATACTTTAATTAATTATTAAAGTTATTTTAATTCACTGGTCCATGTCAACCTTTGGTTGCCTGACATTTAACCTGCAGTAACAAATAAAATATATGATATAATATGATATGTCAGGCCTTCCTGGGAAATGCATACAAACACACTCACAAGCTTTGGTACATGCCTCACCACAGTATGATGTGCATTTTACCACAAGTCTGTTTTATAATTATTCAATTGTTTTTACCAAAGTGCAGGAAACTAATAAGGTGACAGAGTGGCTTTGAATCAAGTTATATACTATGTTAAATCTGCACTGATTATTGCACTTTCTGCTCAGTGAGTTTTCCAGAATTTCCTTCTGTTTGCTTAAAATTCCTTCCAAAATGGATGAAAATTTATCAGATTTACCTATTATTAGATCTATATGGATTAATAACTTTCATCCCCTATTTTCGGGTTCAAATTACTCAAGAAATATTTCCTGGCATTGCCTTGAACACACAAGCTTTATTTCGATATTTTCCTTTATCTAATTTCAAAACTTTTCTTTGTTTAGTTTTGAAACTTTCCTTTGTTTAGTTTTGAAACTTTCACTTGTTGAGTCTCAAAACTTTTTGAAAAATCTGAAGCGTTTAGAATTGACAAGTAGTGACAATAGAGTTTTTAAGTGTGACAACATAAAAATATATGTTTATAACTTTTAATTCTGTACCACATTACTTAATTATCTCTAAATATGCAATATCAGTTAGACATGTTAGAAATTTGGAGAGCTATGACCAATAAATGATATCAAGTATCCTACATACTTCTGCTATTTTGGCATGGTTCACCAAATTTAAAACAGAGATTAAAGTTACAGTGATTTGACAGGGACAGAGCTTGTGCTCAAGTTGCCATATCTCAGCCAGTTTTTAACACATTAACTCACTTCAAACATTTAGAGATCTTTCAAGCTATCTAGCTCTATTTGAAATTGTAAAAACAGCTTTGTGTCTCATTATAACATTGATTTTGCCAAGTCAGTTTACTGGCCACAGATTGCATAAACCTTGAAGCTCTGCCTATATTTATGCAATCTGTGGCAAGTAAACTGACAACCTCATTTTCTAATTCTAAAATCAGAAATTTCATCCCAATTTCTTAGAAAATCATATAAAATCCTTTAGTGCAAAAAACTATAATGGAGACATGTTTTCGATTATTGGTAAAGCCCAATTGTCATGCCATCTAGCAGTTATGGAATCTATCTACATAGACATGAAAAAACCACTATTGAGTAGACAGAAGGAATTCATTTTCACCTTAGAACTCCATTGGTAACATTTTCAATAGACAAGCAGCACTGATTGGGCAATCTAAACAATTACGTTCTTGCCTCTCTGATTGTTCTATTTCGATCCACATTGAGTATATTTATTGATTAGCATAGTGTTTTGATCTATGTTCTGACATTTTCTACCTGAAGAGTGTCAGACGAAAAGCTTAAGTATGACTCAAAATGCTTGCTTCTTTCAAAGCCATTTTTCAATACTCCCACTTCTCCACCCCCTTCCCCAAAAACAAATTTTGATAATATAGAGAAACATAATAAACAATGCAGGAAAACATACTTCCTAATCCTCTATAGTCCTCTAAACATACTGTTCAAAAGAGGGTGGGAGATTGCTGAATTTGGCTTTATGCAGCGTATGAAGACTTAAGGCATCAGAATGATATCAATGAAGCAAAAGTTTAAGAACTTAAATTGTTTGCAGATGATTGTATCATATTAAGGGAAGTTCACAAAATGGAAGATGCTTTAGCCTTGCAAAGTGATCTGGATCAGGTTGCTGAATGGTCCAATAGGTAATAAAGTTTAGGAAGAGTTAAAATGACCATTCATTGCAGAAGAGGAGATTTGTATCAAGCATCTTCATAATGTACAAAGCTGTAATAATAATTAAGCAGGGTCCTTTCAACAAAACCAACTATGGAAGGTTGTCAACAATAAAAACATATCAGCACAGTTTCCAAAACGATGCGCCGATAGAGCCAAGTTTGTGAGGCCTCGGACATAGACAAAAAATTGTTTTTGAATTATGAAAAACCATATTTTTCATATTACAAATAGATCTAACAAATAATTAACGGACCTGATTTAATGCTTGTCTCGACAGACTGAAAAAATTACGATATAAATGTGGGCAAAATCAATATTTTTTACTCCCAGCCACACCGCCCCTCGTTCAATGAAAATCAATTATTTGTAATTTTGAGCTTTGTATCGTTGAAATAAAAAAAATGGCCTTTTACAACAGCATCCTCTAAATGTTTCAAGAAATACCAACAAATTATGTTAACTTACGCTTTAACTTCTTTGAATATATTAGAAAAGCAGAAGAATTTGAGCGTTCTCTGTCATAAAACCCCAATTTAAAACGACCAATTGCTATTCAAAAAACAACAAAGGTTTCCACCATTTTCGAGACTTGGATATGGACACAGGGGCCCAAGATTTTGGCTCCTTCGCAAACAACCAAATTAAATCTAAAGCCGAAAACCCACTCCGGAAAATGATCCGCGGATCGGATGAGATTTGTGTTGCGCAAGCGCTTTGGATGCAAAAATGGTCACATGACTGATCCGCGACGGATCGAAACGGATCGAAAAAAAGTTGAAATCATTTCAACTTTTTTTTGAAGCGTTCCAGTACAGTAGTTTTCTTTTGATCAAGATCGAATTAGAACTTGTTAAACAATAGAGCACTTCCGTCATTTTGTGTCACGTGCATTCGAATCTAAAACGATCCGCGGATCGAAAGAACCACACGATTTGATCCGATCCGCGGATCATTTTCCGGAGAGGGTTTTCGGCTGCAGTGACACCCCCACACCCCACATCCCCCCGCAGGATATCCGACGTCTTGGATATCCGACATCTATATTTTGATGCCCTGTCTATCATACCAATAGAAAAAAAATTATTTCTATGACTATATTCTTTTCGCATGAGCCACCATTGCCGCTCCCACTCAGAAGCCAACCAGCGGTTGCCAGCCGTTTTGTACAACTATGAAGTGTAGTATGTTGTGATTTTTCATTATTTCAAAAAGCAACCCATTCCAAGTGTTCTCTGTCTTAGGCTTGCAGGGAGCTTTTACTCATCTCCAACCGTTTTTTCCTGTAAGCTGGAATGCCAAATCAAAAACATTTTTGAATATATCGCTGACTTCCGTGATTTCAAAACACTTTTAGTGTTTTCTTTTTCAAAGTCTCTCTTTCTGTGAAGATTTTCAGCAACGCTGAACTCAAACAGATAATGAAACCACACATTTATTGAAACCCAGCCTTGCGTAAAATCAAACAATACCAAGGTTTCTTTCAACAAGGCTCCGTTTCTGTGACTTCGTTGTTATGCTTCGCTATGAGAACTGAAATTTGCTGTTGGGTTAACAGCATTTCATGATATTCACACCGAAATCGCAGCTTATGAATATACTTGCCATGTAATCATACTTCATCACCAAGCTGCAGCTGTCCTTTATCATTCCACTTCAATATAACGATTGCCTCTATCTCCTATCAATGGTTAGTATCATCTGCTACTTGTTATTTAAAGGCACTTAAGTCGTTTTTTATTCTTTTGCATGGTAGTCGTACAAACCTTACTGCATTACCTTTTGTTCTTCGTAATGAGGTTTCTTCAAGTCAAAAACTATCGATCTATTTAAATTGTTTGGTTAACACTTAAAGTAATGCCTCGGTAGTCCGTCCTATGCTTAATAACACCAAATGTTACTGTAATAGCAACGAATATTGTTCAGGCGCATTTACGTTGAGAAACGCATTTCTTACACGACACCATTTTAAGTTGAAAAACATAACTGTGAAAAAGTTTTAGTAAAATTTAAATGCATTTAAAAAGTGGTTCTAGATTGGCCTGCCAAGTTTTTGATTGTTCATGGTGTCTGTCTTATGATACGATTAATCTGCTGTCATCCATAAAATAATGTTTATGGTGGAAATAATTCTTACGACCCGCCTGCCCCATCTCTTTCACTTTTTAACTCATACAGATGTTTTCCTCGAGTTAGAATTAAACTATTTGAAAAATAGTTTCTTTCCTTCCTTTTTTTCTAGATTATCTGGTGCCAGCCTACTTAGTTCTAAAAACATTGAATCCAACAGTTTTTTGTGAAGATTCTACGTGAAAAGCGTACAGCGGTTTTCAATAAAAGTTATGTTTGTTATTGTAATGTTTATAGATACTATTCCAAATTCGATCAGTGGGCGGTAATAATCGTCAATAGGTCATTAAGGTTGCGTGTGTTTCTTCTGGTAACTGCCTTCTCCAGCTTTCAATCCGGTTTCTTGGATTGACCTTATTTTTGACCTTGACCTAGTGCAGTTCACTTTTATTAGACCGCTATTATCATGTCACATTTAATGGCTATGTCGTACTTTCGCTAGCATTGCTTTTCAAATTTAGAATTATTTGAAATAATGTTAATTATTTACCTGGATAGACATCATTTGAATTTGTTTTCTTGCAGAACAGAAAAGGCCTCATGGGCGCCATTTGAGGGACACCCGGCTTGGAGATGCAGATGTTTCTTTTAGCTGGCATATTTCTTGGTACTCTTTCAAGCAGCAGTTCATTGTCGTACCATCTATGCAAGACTATTCATAGCAGTAGCTGTAACAACACTTTTCGAAAATACTACAGGGATGTTCCTTTCATTTGGAATAAAAATGCACTTAAGTTACCAAGGAGAGAATTAACCGGGGAAGGAGTAGTATTGGCTCTAATCATGATACCCTCGTTGCTAGGCAATGGTGCACTCATTGCTATGGTAACGTTTGAGAACAAGTTTAGGACTCCAACGAACCTACTGGTGATAAGCCAGTGCATTGCTGACTTGCTAATGACATTTTTCGTAATATCACTTTCGGCTGTAGCTGTGGCAAAGGGAGGCTGGAGGCTTCATCAAATGTGGTGCTTGTTCCAAGTAACAGCAAACAGGGCGATTCTATTTGTTACTTGTCTCCATTTTGCACTACTTGCAATTGACAGGTATATTGTCATTGTGAAAACGAAAAGCACAGATCGTTTCTCTAAGCAACAGATTCTTGTCGCTTGCAGCGTCCTTTGGTTCATAGCACTCATTTTCGCATTTCCGTGGGACGTTTTCTTTTTTCCGCGAGAAGTTTGGTTCGAGGTAACATCCACATTTTGCTATGCCAGGTACACTTTTCCAGGTCAAAAGAATTCCACCATACTCATTTTTGCAAGAATTATAGGGATACTGACTATACCTGGTCTCGTGATAATTTTCTGTTTCTATCATATATTCAGCGTTGTTAGAACAAATCGTCGCAAAGTAGGTCCATCGACGGTATCAAACTGGCGCAAGATTGCAGTGGCGGTATATGCAAAGTCCGCCTACACCAGCATGGCTGTGCTCGTATCTTTCTGCCTGTGCGTATTGCCGTTTATAGCTGTGTATGGGCTGAGCATTATTGGTAACATTATCCATTATCGAACATTAATGGCTTCCAAGCATATCATTTATGCAAATTCCGCTATCAAACCTATCATTTACATCATAAGAAGTGTCCCTTGGTCTAAGAAGATGCGGGTATTATTGAATAGGAGACGGAAAGCAACAAGGACTATAGCAGACTCGCCTGCTTTTAGACGCTCATCGAAATACGTTGTAGGTAATTCGCTAAAGAGCAGTGCACTTTCTTTTCGTTCCCAGACTTCTACAAGAAACACTGCGAAACAGTTCAGCTCGAAGGATTTTCATGAACTGTTCTGCGTGGACGGAGTTAAGAAGGCTTGGGAACACTGTAAGTGATCAGCTGATTGAATAAATGTTTTCTTTTCCAATGTAGCAGTGGAAAATTTTGTTCTCACCTTATTTTAATGAAGCCACCAAATGACTAATTTTGTGTTTTATAGAAAAATAATAGAAAAAAAATTCATTTCCTTGTCTTATATTTGATTAGTAGATTATTGAAAATCTCGAATTCGTATTTAATGCGTGTTCATTCGTTATTAACCTAACATATATTCTAAATTTTAAGAAAGTGTATAATGATGAGACAAAATAGACTTTAGCTGACTTTAATCTGAGAAGAAGTAAAACCTGCCATCAAATTAGATACTGGTAGTACAAGTCTTTTAGCTATTATAGAGAACGGGTATATACGATTCTTCAAGGAGTAAAAAAACAGGTTATGGTCACGGATGACTACCCTCACACATTTGCAAGATCTGGTCTCATCGTTACTAGAGGATTTAAGCGGTTCAACTTTCATAATTTTAAAGCTTTGTTGATCCAACTTTGAAAGGTCAGTAAGCAACTTTTTTCGTTGACCAAGTAAGTCGTATCCCATCAATGTTAATGTTAGAATTTACTGGTTTTCTATAACTTTTATCGTGACGTTGGAATAAACATGACGAGGCTTGTTGCTATAGCCTCGTCTTGGCAAATGTCTCTTACCTACACAGGAAAATAAAGTTACGAACTGTATTGCTAATGATTTATATAAAATAATTTTCTGACAAAACATTCGCTAATAATGCATTTGGTCTTGGCCTTAGCTTGGCTTCCGTCAGCCATGCTTCTAAACAAATATATTCTGGGTGGAAAAAAATGTTACACAAAGAGATGAATATCTGATAAAATCTGTAAAATTGTTAAAAGTCTTTTTGTGATACCAAAATCTAAAATGGTTTTATCGTATATTGTAATAAAAAGCAATAACTTTTTCATATACTAAAGTTTCTCGTCTGACATTTTTCAGAGTAGAAAACGTCCAAAAAAGATTGTTTGCTTTTCTTAATCTTTAAAACATTCTTTTCTTTTGCTTTGCTACACTTTTCTACAAAAGCATTGTATTTATCTTATTGTATAATCGCTGTACTTTCCGAAAGTCATTTGTGTTGTTTTTGCCAAAGTGTCGTTTTTGCCAAAGTGACCAAAATAAGTCCTTAACTCGTAGGTTGTTGAGACCCTGCTTGATTTCTCTGGCAATTAATGAATGCTTAATGCATTTGCCACCCTTAGTTTTGTTTATTAAAAATCGGTTTTTGTAGTGAATCACAGACACGGAAGTAGTTTAGTTTCAATAATCTGAAACAGAGAAAACTCATGCTCATCAATCGTGTACTCTAGTTCATTTTAATATATTGTTATTCTTTAAATTTACATTGTTATTTTGTACACAGCATTGGAAATTCCGAAAATGTTGAAAGCATCCAAATGAGATATCTTTTGTTTGTTTTTCTTAATTTCATAGAAGGTACGTAGCTTATTTATAATAAACAAAACAAAACTTTGAACAATAAAAAGTTTTAGCATTGGTATTTTGATTAAAACGAAATATTTTTTTTCTCTTTAGAACAACCTTCATTAGTGGTGACTTTTTTAGATGTTGATGTCAGGGAAAGACTAGGGCGCCTAAAATGAAGCCTTGTAATACAATATTTGTGTTATATCATTTCAAATCCATTTCCTGTTCAGACAAGTGAAAATTTTCTTTATATCTCTAGTTGGGTTGTGCTTTTTTGCCGATCCGTTTACTAAAGCCCATCTTAATTCAGTGAGCGGCAAGAATTATGACAAAAAATGGGGTCTGTCTCGGAGCTTTCTAAACAAAAATCAAGCAGTTATCAATCCTTATGTCGCTTCACCTCATGGTCATACCTCAGCATTTGCAACTGCTGCAGATGAAAGGAAAAATGTAATTGCGAAGGAGCCAAGACCAATCATATCATCCAAGCCAGTGCCTGGTACCCCATTACATTTCAGAGAGATTGTTATTGGACGATGCTGGCAATATCAAATCAAGATTGGCATCAAGGATAACGAGCAAATAAATTGCGAGAAAGTGTGGGATTATTTTCAGCAAGCATTTGCATATAAAGGACCTTGCGATGTAACCACAAAGGATTATGCAGAATTTTTGGAAAAGATAGATGAAGATATACCTAAAGACAGGGTAATTTTTGTTTTATATCCACGTTTGAGAAAGATTTTTAGTTCAGAAAACTTGAAAAAGGAACAGGTAGAGATGCTTTCTCAAAACACCTTTTAAAGTGGAAATTTTTGAGAAGGGTGTTTTCGCGATTACGTGTAGACCGGTGAAAGTGGAGCTTTTGGAAATGCAAACATAACAATTTTGTATTATTTGAATTTGAACATCCCATTATGAACATAAAAAGTGCACCATCGTTTTCATTTTGATTTCGTGCTTTGTGTTACATTCTTATTTGCTTCGTTTGGAAAGAGCTCTAGGCACTTTCAATGATTTTATCAAAGCAACCAAATTCAAACCAGGCTAGACCATTCCAAAAAAGTGCCGAGTGAGGCAATTGAGCGAGAGTACCTTGGTAGCTATGACTACGGCGCCAAATATCTGAAGCCATGCTCATTTCTGATGAATTTACATATTCTTGCGTTTTCGGCGTTTTCGTGTGGGCGAAATCAGTTTTCATTAAATCAGCTAAAGCTGTCTGCATAGATGGCACGTCTGCAAAAACGAGCAGCCATAAGTTTCACGGGCCTCATTGCAGCCTCGATATTGATAATGCTTTCTTTAACAGGCGCTTTTGTGGTCTGGCTGTAGAGAACTAGCACACAAATATTCGGACTTTGGCTACAGTAAAAGATTCACCATACTCGAAAATACACTGGCCGGGTAACTGTTTGATTTTTAAAGACTTTCCCTTTAGAATTTATGTTTTTTAATTTATTTGGATTTTGTAAATTTCCATTGCTACAACATTGGTTCAAAACTTGCTCCTTTTAACATCTACAAATTTTTGGACTTTGGCTGCAGTAAAAGATTCACCATACTCGAAAATAGACTGGCCGGGTAACTGTTTGGTTTTCAAATATTTTTCCTTCAGAATGCATGCTTCTATTTTCACTGGATTGTGTAAATTTCCATTGCTACACCTTTGTTTTAAACTTGCTCCTTTTATCATATAAAGTTGGGTTATAGTGGCTGCTGACGTGCCAAAAGCGGAACAATTACCTATCCCTTGTCCCTTGATAGGTATCTCTTCGAAGGCTTATCATGGTGTGGGAAAAAGGACGCCCCTGGCATTGAATATGATAGCTGTCCTTACGAATGCTCTATTCAAGCTCCATATTGGGCAATGGCAAATCTAATGGTAAGACCATCTAATCAAAATTGAACATTCCTTTAATTGTACCCAAAGTACCTAGCACCTCAAAAAAAAGTGTAGAAGAAAGGCCATTTGAAATTCAATCAAAAAATTCAATTATTTATCGATCTTCATTTTAGTATGAAATTGCGATACAAAAAGAGTGATAAAATTGTAGCCATTGCCCTGCAGCCACCGTTATTGAATTAGAAGAAAATGCAAAAGTAATATAAGCTGCTACGGTTGTTGTCGATAGTTTTGCTGTTGTTTGTTGTTGTTTTGTCGTCAACCATGTTGTTGTTGTTGTTTGTCGTCGAGCTGGTTGATTCTTCAAAGATAAATTGAAATAGTCGTAGACCTAAATCCATGTCATTGCCACTTCGTAGTTCGCAAAGAAGGTCGAAGGAATAGTACACGTGATTCTGAACGGCACAAGACAGCACTTAGATGATGGAAGAGTATATCCTTCATACTTGAAAGACAGGTAGAACTTAAACACAGTCTTCTCTCATTTAAAAAATTATTGTAGTATTTGCAGTATTTTCGGGTTAGCAATAGGTTATTGTAAGGCAAGTCATTAAATTTTGTTGAAAAAAGCAATTTTTTCTCCATGGAAGACAAAATAATTTGATATTTAACACTGATCTTTTTTTTGATTCTGAGAAATGTTGTTTTTTTTCTAGATATTACTTTGGTCCATACGTGGTACCAAATATCAACCCAAAGAAAGTGAGAGAGGTTCGAATAATCGTAGCCCATTCACTCAGACAACGTCCACTGTAAGTAAAAATCTTGTTTCTTCAGACTTATGTTAAACATTAACAAAACATAAAAATTTACTGAAAAATCATTTTTGGACTTGCAATTAAAAAATAAAGCTCAAATGATGTCAGTATATGTAGAGAATCAAACTATCCTGTTGCAGTCAGGTGGCAGGCAGGGAATGAAACGGTTATTTTTGAGACTGCATTTTGTGTTTCTTTTGATGACATTCGTGGCAAAAAGCTCACTAAAACTGGCTACAGCTGCAGAGAGGTGCGCGAGAATAACAGACGATTGTTCATCGTTGAGGTAAAAAAAGTCATCCTATGTGCGGTGCTCAATCGCTGGGCTCGATGCAACATGACATGCATTCTTCGCATCATTTTCAGCGAATCAAACGTGAATGCTTCGAGGATATTATAGCTCGAATAAAAACCCAAAAAAATCTAATAAAGCTTATTATTCCTACAAAAAACAATTATAAACATTATTTTTCAATGTAGTTCAATAATAGTGTTACAAGTCATGGAAAATTGTGATTCAAGGAATTTTCAAGGAAGGAAGGACAAGTCAAAGAATTTTAATTCACAGTGATACCAAAAACTTCATGTTATCACGTAAATTGCTATTTGATTTTAATGTTTCTCAGACCTCTCTAAATTTTGCAGTGAGAAACAAAGACTTTTAAGATACTTCCCGCCTAAAATGCTCCAAACTGATTTGATCTCATTTTACTTCTAGGGAAAAGTGTAACGAAAAGTCGATTAGAATTTTGCAGAATGAGTTTTTAGCCAAGGGACTTAAAGTGAGTTGCCACGACGACCCAGAGTAAGTGATTGTGAGAATATTTCTTTAAACAGTTTTTTTCAAAACTCCAAGACATGCTAACTATAATTAGACAAAAGAAGTGAACAGAGACTCTCTGTGCCAAAGTGGAATCCTTACCACAAGAAGAATCATTCATAAAGTCGATCATCTATTTTATGGTGGTAGACGAGCTTGTCTCGTCGCTCAGTTTGGTACTCTCTATAAATTTTTTTAGTGACTATAGCTTACGCTCTACTGTTAGGTCTACTGTGCCAGAATCCTTTAGCGAGTGCAGAATTAACTCTCTTGGCATATCAAAATATTTTGATTCCATCTGGCACAAATGGTTTCTTTCCAATCTCGCCATGTACGGCCTTCTCCAAAACTTTACAAGTATGTTTTGTAGCTTTTTCTCTGATAGATCAATAGCCATTTTAGTTGACAGCTATCTCTCTACTTCCAACTCAATGCTGGTGTTTCACAGGGTTCTGCAATATCTCCTGTTTTATTCATCCTTTTCGTCAATGGTGTACTATCTTCCATCGCTACAATTATTCGTTCATTTCCTGATGAAATTCATCTGAGGTCTTCACTAACTTTTAATTTTCAACCAATTTCTGTTGTCAAAAGTCCCCCTTAAAAGAAATATTTTTAACCTCGCTTCTAATTCATTTGCTATTTTGAGATGCTGGGAACAGACAGTTTCTCTAGGTTTTGTCAAACTAAAGCTAACATGTTTTCATTTAACCTGAAGGTGAAACTAAATTTCAGTCTGCTTCCGTGAACTGTGCTGACTTGGATAATTCTACTTCCTTTTCATATGTAAGCCATTCTGCATCATCAACCTTAATTGGAACTCATATTTCTCTTATTATGGCTTTGAAGAAAGGAAAAATTTGAGTAAACTAAAGTTTAAAGCGTCAAAACATAGATCGAAAACTCTACGCTATGAAATATATATACCCGGTTGTGGATCGAAATAGGCCTAACAGAAAACACGAGCACATGACTGTTGAGGTTGACCAATCAGTGCCGCTTGCCTATTGAGAATGTTACCAATGGAGTCCTAAGGTGAAAACGAACTCCTTTTGTCTACAAAGTAGCGGTTTTTTCATGCTTATGTAAATAGATTCCGAAACTGCTAGATGGAACGATCTATCTACATAACTGCTAAATATTCATCGCAAATTTCTCTCTAGAACACATGGATTCTTCTCATCTTCACCACTTCTAACATTTTTTAAGTACCAAATCCGGCCTTCCTTGAAGTATTTGTGGTGGTGTTCCTAAATCTACAATATGACTTCTTGGCAAAATTCAATCCAAAACCGTTCTCCTAATCAAAAACTGCATTATTAGAAAGTCTCTCCAATCCCTTTCTCATTGGCGCTGGATTGTATCTCTTTACAGACTCTGCCATGGAGATTGCTCTTTAGAAATATGATTCAGAATCCTATGAGACTTGTACAAAATATAAAATACTCTTCAGGGCTTACCTATTTCATGTTTCTTCAGCAATTTCATCAATTCTTACCCACAACTTATCCTTCCCCCTCCTTTTTCTTCTTCCTTCTTCCCAAACATTCTTCCTAAACCCTCCATTCTTTCCTTTATTACGGCTTTGCTAAAGGCTCCAGGGCCTCTCTCTTACAGAACCCCTACAAAACAAACTGAAGCCTAGATGCCGTCCCATACTCGGGAGTTCAAATCTCTACGGAAGTGCTATTTTGCAACCTTATTGAATTATTTTTTAGAAACTTCTAATGGTTGAAAAATATTAATGATAGACTGAACATAACAAGCTGGCCTTTATAAAATTGCTTCATTCAATTTGATGACCAGAGTTTTCTGATTATTGAAGCATTGGTTTTCTTTGCATCTAAGCTAGGGGGAACATGAATATTTTTTTTTATCATTTAACACTTTCTCTTAAAATTTAGACGACATAGCAAACCCCACATCCTAGCTAGGAATCTTTGACAAGAGATGACCCTTACTAAATGCTAATTGACAAGAGATGATTTTAGCACATTTTAAAACTTAAAGCACATTGAATGCATCGTCGTGAAGAGCCGAATGTTTGGGATCTTCAGAAAAAATTACTTTTCTTACTGAAGACGGTTTTTTTGTAGCTCTGTTAAACATTTGCTCTGTGTTGGTGAAGATGCTCTTGATGAATGCATGCTGAAAAAAGTGAAAAATACTTTTTCATTGTAATAACATTGTAATTCGTAAATGGTATCCGATGCCTGTTTATAGAATAAGTGTTCACATCAGAGTACATTCAGTTCGAACATTGACATTTTACTTGTCGTTTTTAAGCTTGGAGCCTAAAAAAGTTTATATGTTGTTGAATGAAAAACCTTGAGTAAAGTAAATATTGTAGGCGAGAAAGCATCTTTGCAGCTGAAGACCTTTGGAGATTTATAAACCAATTATTTAAAAATATCCGCTTTATAAAGCTATATACTTTTGTCATAGAGACAAGCAGCCATTCTAGAAAGATTTTAAAAAGTTGGATAAATTTGTATTTGATTGTGCTGTAAATAGTATTGGTTTTTTAGAATGAGATAGGCTTTTCATTTTTACATTTGAAATGCAGTTTTGTAGGGGATGAAGTTGTGACTGAAATGCAGTTTTGACTCAAACACGATTTCACTTAGAACACTGCTGGTCACTTAAAAAGACTGGACAGAAAATTAAAAAGCAATCTTTTTGCTCAATGTGTTATAACGATGTAGTACCATAACGTAAAGTGAAATGGTTGTGTAGTTATTCGGTTTGACTGGATTTTGAGAAATTGATTTGTTTAAATATTCATTTGATATTGCTTATCAACATTAGTTTCCAGATTATGCTTGAATCGTTTTAATCGACTTAATTATGCTACTGCCCAATTCAAGAGGCGGCTTTTAACACTCTCTTTGCCTTGATCGTAATAAGATTCACACAGGGCAGACAGCAGCAGTTGCGAAAGACTGTGTTATCCCATCCATTACAACGGCTTGCGTAGGTTAAATTGGCAGTTAAGCTACCTGTAGTTGGGAAAAGATTGCGTCATCGAACTCCTACACAATATATAAAGCCGTTAAATAATAAAGGTGCCCTGGGATGTGTCACAGCGTACTTGCAATCTAACCAAAAGTATACTTTTTTGCAATTTCGGCCCAGCCAAGGTCTGGTCCAGGGTAGCATATTTGACAATATTTGATTCTGAAAAAAGCCTTGGAAAGAAATAAATTAATCCTGACAATTAATCTTGATAATAAACTAGTAATGAAATAGTTTTGTTGAAATTGTTCAAGCCAAAGGTAAAACTTTTGTAAAGATTAGTCTTGGCTACAGTACCACTTTGAATATACTCGTGGAAGACCCCTACCCAAAATTTTGCCAATAATACAGCCCCCCACTGTGACCTGGACACCAGGGATGTGTCGATTGGTGGGGGCATGGGGGCATGACAGAATGTGTGCAAAACTTCAAAAAAGTTGGCCATGCAGCGGGGACCTTAGCGTTAATTAGTAAGTTTGACCAAATTTCAACTCGTAATTCATATATTTTGTTGGTCAATGTTGGTCATACTCAGCTTTCTTTTATACCGCAAATATCCTGCCATACATAACGGCTATAAGATGCAGTCAATTGAAAATTGCAGACTTATAGCTAACTATTGCGCAGGGCTAGCGAAGCCTCGCATGTTCTGTTCCATTAAAGTCTGTGAGAGCCTCAATAAAAATTTTTTCAAGAAAAATATTAAAAAGAGTGGGTGACAAAATGTAGCCTTGACGTAAACCAACTTTAGCTGTAAACCATTCTAGCGTGTTGTTGTCTGTCAGCACTGCGTAACCGCTTTTTTCAAACAAGGAGTGAATGATAGTAATTGATTTCGGTGAGATGTTAAATTTGTTCATGATGATCCATAAGGTCTCTCTCCGGACGCGGTCAAAAGACTTCTTAAAGTCGATAAAATTGTGATATAGTTGTGATTGATGGTCTCTGTACCAGAGTCCAGAAAAGTTGTTAACCTTTCTCTAGATAAAAACTTTCAAGACGGCAAACCTTTCTCACAGGACAATAGAAAACGGGCGTGGCTTGGGTGGGTCATAGGAGCTTCTATTGTTTTTCGTGGACCTTCCTCCGGTCAGTGGCCGTGCGACCGTAATGTTTTCCTGACTCTGCTCTGTACCTCTCACATAAAATTCTTAGATTTGTGATTTGCTCCATAGTACCTCTCCCTTGCTTAAACCCAGCCTGTTCTTCTGACAGAATAGACTCGGCTTCATTTTTTCAATCTTTTATTGATATAGTGTACTAAGACCTTACTTGCATGGCTAATAAGGTTTATCGTACTGTCATTGTTACATTTTGCGGAATTTTTCCTTCTTTGGTAACGTTATAACAGTGATTTGGTCCATTAGTTTGGCCATTCTCCGGTTTTCCATACGTTGTTAAATGTAATACCGCTACTCCAAGCGCTAAGCCTCGCTCTTACCTGCCTCGTTTGCGCATTTCCTTCGCCCCATTCATCCACTCTCCCAGCGTTAGTCATACTTGTTTGTGCATACTCTTTTGGGTCAACTTGCATCGCACTCTTTGTTGCATTTCGTATACTAGTAGGAACACTTTCACTAAGGAAACCCACCCTCTATTATAGTATTATTTTAAGAACTACACTACGGATTGACTCAGCTTATACATACGTATCTAGACACATTCCTATTGTTTTTTTAGCTTGTTTTTCCTCTTATGTAGACACCTAAGATTAGCACATTTACATCTTTTATTTGTACAAGGAACTAGTTTAACATATATATATCGTTCTCTACGAATCCTGAGTTAGTGAAGAGTTAAGAGCTAGCATTGTGAGCACGTACACTTCGCTCTTGTGAAAGGCTTAGTGTTACAAGTCGTACAACGATATAAGTTTGAGAAAACTATATCTGTGTTTATTTGTTGTGTCATTCTGAAGTTTTGCCGAACATTTAGCTCGGAACCTGCCGTATTTAGGAACCAATTTACATAAAGATCTTGTGAAGAATGTCAATCGTGGTTCTACTCCCATTCTTAATCATTGTCGTCTACGCCTGCTGCTTTGCCGGACTTTAGATACTTCACTGCATCTTCGATTTCTTCTCTAAGTATATTCTTCAAAGTATTGATAAGATCCAACAATATCAAAACACAAAATCTGGTCGCTGAGCACATAAAAAACACCCAGTCATAGATATTCATATTTTAAATTCTCCAAATACAATTTATCATAACAAAACTAATTAATACAAACAATTTACTAAACTACAATAATAACAATAATGCACCTAAAATTAATACAACATACAAATACCGAACAAAGAACAAGATCAATTGCATGGGGGGAATTACTTAAAAAAGGAGCTCTCTCAGTCCAGTTTGAACACATCTACATTGTTTATTTGTTTGTTTATTTGTAGGTTAAAAAGTTAGGCGTCAAAAAATGCCGATGTAGACCTGCTGTCTAAAACGAAAAATGTTTACGAAATTTCAGTAAGCCTATTACAATCATTAGCTAATCAAATCTTATAAATTAATTCTTACCCTTGATTTTCGGATGGACCCCCTATCAAAAGTATAAAAGAGGTTCAAGTGACCCCCTTGGGATCTAGACCATTCAAAGGCAAAGGGGAAACTTTTCGAAGCAAGTTAAAGACAGATTGTTGGGGGGGGGGGCTGACTGAGCCCCCAAAATCAAGGAAATTTTTTATTTGCATTTCGCATTGCTTTTTTAATGATGAAATTCTTGATGAAAATATAAGCTGGAAACAACATCTTAATGAATTTTTAAAAAACTAGCCAGAATATGTGGAATGTTTTTTATGTTAAGGAACTTTGTGCCTTTGATCACTTTGTTATGCTTGTATAATGCTTTATTCTTATCATTTATGCAATATGGAATGATTGTTTGGGGGAATACTTGTATAACATATGTTGATCCCATCTTCAAATTACAAAAAAAGGTTGTCAGAGCTATCTCATTTGAATCTTTTTGCTCACATTCTTCTCCCATTTTCAAAGACTTGAAGATTCTTAAACTCTCTGATGTTTTCCATCTGAAGCTTTTAACTTTGATCTATGAATCAATTCATAAAATATCTCCCAGTTGCTTTCATGATTTCTTTTGTTTGAGCCTATATGTTCATCGATATTCTACAAGGCAAACTATAAGGGGCAATATCTACTTAACTCAAAAGAATACAGTCAGCTTAAGCTCTATAAGGTATCTTGGTGCCTAACTCTGGAATGAATTGCCTGATAATATTAGAACGGCTAACTCTAAACATACTTTTAAATCAAAACTGAAGACGCATTTCCTAGAAAATTTATAACACTGGTCATCAATTATTCCCCTATTGTTCACAAAATTTCTAATCATTGTGTATTTGATTTGACCCAGTATTAACGTTGAATAAGCTCCATGTTTTAGAACTATAGATCGGATAGGGGGGCTCCTTTAAGAAATTTCACACTTACAATTCAATATGTTTAATTTATTTTCTATCTAATTGCTCTCTTTTTTATTTTTTAATCATATTAATTGTATTGTGATTTATTGCATTGTATTGTATGTATGGAATTTTAAATAATGAAACTGAACTGAACTGAACTGAACTGGACTTTTTTAGCTCATTTTTCGCCAATGATATAGAAGCGCCAAAGCCGCTAGATTTCTAACTCACAGGTACGCTGTGAGGCAAATTTGTTTACTTCCGCCATTTTTAATAGTGGCAAAAAGGAACTTGCTCCATACTGAGCCCTTATAAATTTGGTCATAATTCAATGCTTGGATATCAATAACAGAATCTAAATATAGTAACCAATTTTTGATTTTATATAATCATTAACATTTTTGGACTTTTTCAAAACCACTTTCGTTGCTTGTAATTATTCTTCAGCACAATGCGTCCCTCCCCGCATCTTTAGGCCTATAAAATACCTCCGGGGAACATTTTCACGACAAAGATTACTAATTTGGTCTTACCGAGAGGAAAAAGAAATTTGACTCATATCAAATTTCTTTTCTACAAATTCAATTTGACAAACTAAATATGAAACATTCGCCTTTCCTACTCATGCCATATTAGATTATAAACGAGAGACAGAAAAATTCAAGAATTATGTATCTAAAATGGTCTTTATTATAAGATGATAGACTCAAAAAGTTCTTTCTAATTTATATGAAGATAAAAACTGCAAGCACAACCGGGGGGGGGGGCACTTGGATACCAAAACGACGGGGTGTACACTCCTAAGATTGTTTTGGTGAACCGGCTTTAGAAAAAAAGCTAAAAATGACACCTGGCTTTGGAATTTCTGGAAAAAAGAACAAAGGAAAACAAAAGCTTTGGTGCCAGTTGCCATGGTTGCCAGAACACTACAAAAACCATGGGCGGGCAGCGAAAATCAGGCAACCGGCTTTAGATTATATCCTTTGAATAGATACCCAGCCTTAGAATAAATTGCTGAAAATGATACCCGGAAAGACGTGCACATCCCGTCAGCAAATTATACTAAGTACCCCCCCCCCCCATGGGTACGCAGCATGACCCGAGTTAGACATCTATAGCGCCTTCGGCGCTTCTATATCTTTGGTTTCTGGCTGTTTTTTTGTCTGTAAAACCAAAAAGAGGCTAGTTAAAGTGCAAAGAGGATGGAGCTTTTCTAGGACTATCAAATAGAAACATAGAGTTAGAAAGGGTCAGTGATGTTAGCAAAGTTTCGGCCAACAGAAGTTGTTTATGGCACTGTTGCGAGATTTACAGCGTTTTTAAAGCGAACAGCATTAACTGATATAAGATTCTTTAATCTGGATAGTAAAGGTAGAGGCTCGGAGAAGGAGAAGCCTGTTGTTGGCTCGCGGCCCTCCGTTCCCGGTGATGTTCTATCAGTTGTTGACATAGAAATAATACGCAGACACACACATGCATGCAAGGTATCTATTTGTATACGCATTTGTTGCGCAGACAGAAATATAAATAAGGGGGTGTGGGGGGAGGGGGGGATTACTTGATGTGACAGAGAAATAGTCAATCGCCTTTGTTAACTGTGCTTTTTCTACTTTGGCTTGGCAGGGTTAAATCGAAGCCTGGAAACATCCGAAACATCTTGGGTAAAAAAAGGGGATTAAAACCATGAAAAATGTCAAGGACCACCAACTAAAGAACCCCCTGCTGCCTAAACTTTAGTATAAGGGAAATTTGAGATGGACCATTACAAAATCAATTTTTTGTCCCTGTTGTCCCTATTATTACATAAGCTGACCTTTATGCTAAAATTTATGGGTCTGCTTGGAATGACTTTTAATGCCACAGAACTTTGGACCTGATTTCAGTCCAACTATACTGTCACTTCTTGCTTTCAGCCATATATTGAATCAATATTGTGCAGACAATACAGCAAAATTGTGTAATTTTAGGACAATTTCCTGTTTCTGATATCCGTCACTACTGCAATTGCAGATATATCTATAGAATATGTATGGCTATAGTTAGTGTGCATGAACATTTCAGTTGAAATCATCCCATCTTTATACACTTGATATCTGCAAGTCTGGGGAGTATGGGAGATGCACACACACGAACTGTGTAGTGCTGCACACCAAAAGTTGAAATATGTCAAATTAAGAAACAGTAAATAGAACAATTTTTCATGTCATATGGTTGTTATTAAAAAGAAAGGTTGCACCCAGAAAATGTGCTTGAAATTTGCTGGGCATGTGCAAAGTCTCATCAAGAACTGCCATACTTTGCAGACTGGCATAAATAGATGATAATTACAATCTAAGAGCGCTGAAAAATTTTAGTCTGGTAGTTCTTGATTTGGCTTTCCCATTTTATGTTCTCAATTATCGTTATACCAATATGTTTGGTTTGATTCACAAGACTAACATTATCATTTCCATCTTAAAACTTGGAATAATAAATGATGATTTCCTAATGTGACTTAGTTATTGTTTTGAAGTAATTATATTAGCGTAAGTTTGCGTAATGTCTAATTAGAGCTTCTTGCCTCGAAGCGATTCATTAAGATGTGTAAGTTCTGCATTCACTATAGCATTCAATTCCCCCACATTATCAGAGGAGTAGCAGCTTATTGTATCATTGGCATACAAAGTATTATGGGGTTTTTTCAGTGAAAGGCCAGTTAATTGATATATAATTAGAAAGAGGAGTTGCCCAAGACATGAGCCCTGAGATACTCTCATTTCTATGGCCTGTATTTCAGAGGAGACACCATTGAAATTGCAGAACGACTTACGATTATTGATATAAGAGTGGAACCAGTCTTGTTTGATGCCACTTTTGCCTCAATGATGCCTTAAGTATTTCATGATGAAAACTACCAAACACCTTATTTTTAAAATTCAATATAACAGTGTTGTAGAGCTTAAAAAGCTCTGCTCGCTCGCAAGGAGCCTTGTCTTTCAGTTTCCCTGCAAGCTCTCCGGAGCCTCTTGGCGGTCCTGTCAGTAAGATCAACGTGCTGAACTATTTGAATTAATGAGGGTATCTCATTGCTCAGAATGTGACTTCTATAAAGTCAAAGAAAGTACCCTTTGAAAATCGAAGCGATGATTGACTATCTTTGATAAACAAAATCAATTGCATCAAACTGCCACACCCAGAAATTGATATATCTCAGACCACGTGCCTATAAGGTTTGCCTTGAAGATACTCAGTAAAATATAAAGCTCTCCCTTGGTGCCTAATTTCACTAGGAAGGTGCTCATTCGAAGTGGTTTGTTTAAATTTCTGTTATTTCACCAGCAAGAAAAAAAATAACCTGTTTTTTTAGAAAATCAGTAAATCATTAGTGCTCTCCTCAAAGTCGATATAAAAGTTCTCCTTACTATAATTCCCGTAGCCAGGGATAAATTTGCATTCGAGGGATGGGACACTCATGGTAAGAAAGGGGAGCGCTTATCAGATTTTTGGCTTTTTTGGGGGGTTCACATTCGGTAGGGGTAGGGGGGCTACTTAGAAGTACACACACTAATTTTAGGTAATTACAGTAACGGTTAACAGCATATGTCTATTAATAATTGTTTACTTGTGTAAGACATATATTACAATAGAAATTGGCAAAAAAAGAAATGTACACCCCCTTGAACACAGTGCGAACATATATCATGAAATCAGACTTTTTTTTCGTTGCCCGTCCTACCATTTGAGCAAACCTTTAACATCTTTGTTTAATATGGTTTACTCTTTCATGGTTTGCTGTTACTGAGAAAGTGTGTTTTTCCCGAATTCTCAAAAATCAAAAAAACAAATGATTGTTCTGAAGGTTGTCAAATGTATCACATGGATGATGCCTGAATCATCTATTCTCATTGCAGGCACTGCCAGGCTGGAGGAGGGGGGGGGCTGGGGGCTTTACCAAGAGTGTACAATATTAAGAGAAGAACCATCAGTAAAACCTCTTTTTTTCGGTTTTAGCCCCCCTCCAACTTTTTAGACCCCCCAATTGTTGGACAAATCTTCTATCTTTACGGAGGCGTTTTAGAACTTTTGAAGCCATTATGCTTTTTGTTGTAGGCAAGTTTGGATTCATGTCAAAGCAATGGAGGCCCTGCATATAAGGCCTTGTTTTTGTAAGACAGACCGGTAAACTGTAATCCCCATTTGCAAGACAATATATTTATTAATCTGAAATTTCAAGTTTAATGTAATTTGTAAACTTTATAAGCCTTAACATGTTTTTATCTACTATGAACAGAATGATCATGATACATACATCGATCCGGAAACAGGATACGCAGTGTTTACAGAAAAGTTTCACATAAAACGGGGAAACTGCTGTGGGAACCAATGCAGGCATGTAAGTTATCCAAATTAGTATTTTTGCCAATGGCAATATTTGATCGAATCCGGCAAGATTTCCTTCTTTTACACTAAGTCTATCATTAAGCAAGGGTTTTGCAGATGGTTGCAGTAGATTGATAAAGAAAAACATGAAAACTAAATTAAACTTCAGGATCATCGACTAATGTGCTCTAAGGGATGCTAAGCCGTAAAAGTTTCAAATGAAGATTGCCTTGATCAAGTTGTACCATTCATTAAATTTGGTAACCAATTGTCAGCACTGTGGGTTCCGTTTAGATTGCATAGGAGCTGTAGAAATTTTGCACAACTTTTTAAGACGAACCTGTCAAACAAGCTGGGTATAATGAGAGGGGTTGAAAGAGCTCCGTGAAACTCTTACAGATTGAGCGACTATTCGAATTGAAGATCACAAAGAAAAAGATGTTTTGAAAGAACCTTGGAGAATGGAAAGGAGTAAAAAATCCTGCTAAAAGCCTCTTGTTCAATAAATCATCACTATTCTAGACAACTATTTTGTGTTTTATTCAGTTTTGCTTTTTTCTTGTGGCTGCCTGTGTCATTTATAACTAGTTTTTGCTAATCAAAGTTATTGTCGCGCAAGTTCTGGTTGTTTTGCTTTCATCTGTTATGTTTTTGTTGTTTTGTATTTTGAAGTTGTTATATATATATAGAATTTTCAGAAATTAGTTCAGGTTTTTGATTTTTCAAGGCTTGAGCTCAACCTTTCGCTCTTTATGCTCTGTGTCAGCTACTGTCAACTGCATGTTTGATCTTTTTGTCATTGTATGCAACCTTTGCTACAAGTATCCTATTTTAACCGAACAGCTCTTTGCTTGCATAATTCTTCTTGTTTCCATGACATTCGTATTTGTACTTGTGTTTCTCTCACATCCTATCGCCGTTTCCACCACAAATATAGTACATATACTGGCTTTCAATCATTTTCTGTTTGGTATGACTAACCTTCTTTATATTTCTAACCTTTTTCCAGTGCCATACATTCTCAAGAATTTCTTGTTGTTGACCTGACTAATCACTAAAAACGTACATTTATGTTTCAAAGTTCATTTCGCACTGAAATATTCAAAGCAATGCTATGTGTCACATCACCTTTGCATTTTCTATGTGATGTTTTTAATAATACCTGCTGTCTTGCTAATTGACCGTTCGTCCGCATGCTGGGTCTGTTTTTGCATCTGCCTAATTTCCATTGTTGTCATTAGGTCAATTTCTGTGCCATTTCAAATCATTAACATCATACTGAGACGTGAGCCGATCTTATAACTTGCTTCTTCTAAATGATAATTATTTTGAAGATTCAGATCTAAAAGGTTTATAACTTTGTCAATAGTTCAATTTATGCGGCATTTAATTAGAGAATGATCGTCATAAATATAAAGCCATGATAATAATCATCCTCTTCATTCTGACCATTTATCATCATTTGATCAATTTGAGATACTTCAATGCGGTCTTTTTTGTGGTTTATTAGAAAGTATGAGTTTCGTCAAGCCCGTTGTCTGATTTCTTCCCTGCTCTTGCAACAATTTCGTTTTTCCCCCAGAATTGATGTGTTTAGACTTACAAAGCTACCAATGTGCCAAGATAGTGCGTTGGACCTCCTTGTTTCTTTGTGTAAGGAACTTCTCATCGAATTCGCGGATATGCTGCTTAAATGCCGTTGCAACTGCAGACCTTAGAGGTTTATTTTCCTTACTCTCTATTGTTACTTTGACTATGCTGTCTCAAGGTCGTTGTTCTGCACCTTTAAGTCACATTCCCATTTGAATTCAACCATGTTTTTGACGAAACAGCAAAACGAAACTTTGCAACTTCTCTGGAAAATGTTCTGCAGGCTGTTTTGCGGCAGAGTTGGAGGATTTCTTTGGGAAGGACAGAGATGACAAACTGTACTGTATTTCCTTAATAACAGTGTACTGATTGAGAGACAATACAACGGACAGCCCCGAATTTGTTCTGACGGCACTGTACAAATTGCAAAAGACTGCAAGGCAATATACTGACTTACATTAAGTACCAAAAATTCCGGTGCCACAAATTTTGATGGATTAATTTTCGGTGGAAAAAATTTTGGTCATATGTTTGCAATTTCGATGTAAATTTCGGTGAGAACTTAAAAACTTTCGGTAGAAGGAACATATTTTGGCGAGTAAAGAAATGAGACACTTTCTGTAAGTTATTTCTATCTTAAACATAAAATCATCTCGAACGAAATAATAAAAATTAATGGAACTAAATGTCAGCCAAATAAATGGAACTAAATAGTAGGAAAGAACAGTGGGTCGTTACAAAAAGCTACTGTTACGAAAATTGCTGCTTGAGGAGGTTGCTTGTCCAAAATAGATAAAAATAGATGGATTTCGAAATAGATAAAAAAAGACTAAAAAAGGCTTTTCCCAGAGTTTGAAGGGCGTGGCCGAGAAAATTTTGTTTTGTCCACTTCAGGTCTTTCGAGCTGGCGACGTCACTGGGCAAGAATGTCATACACTATTATTTAAGTGGAGGGCAGCTTTGATTTTTTTTTTATTGTAACCCAGTGAGGAAAATTAATTAGAACCGTTTGCAGCTGGGAATATTTTCGATCATCAATCACAACCGTCCTGAGAAAAAAAAATTCGAATAGACTGTGAGTTAAAAATTGAGTTAGAAATAGATATAGAGTAGAATTTTTTAATTTTTACCATATATCCTAAAAGAGCATTATGAAATACCTCTAAATATGCAAAATCAGTTGAATTTTATAAGTAGAATGCATAGTATAACACTGTATCTGATGGGTAATAATGCTCAAACAATACCAATGTATTTTCCTAAGCGATAATCTTTAATACGAGAGTACAATAGAAAACGTTTTCTCCTTATACGATGCTTGAATTTTGCAATCAATATTGTTGTCGATACCGATCTTTGTAGTTGGTAACATTGCTTCGAAATTTAGCTAGAAGTACTTATGCAAGGAGCTTGTCATATGCAATGCTTTCATTTATATTTTACAACAGTTTCACCCGAAATTTTTCGCCAAATCTCTCTACTCATTACCTGCTCCTCAGGTTCATATGCTCTTTACTGGGGAGAAAAAGTAGTTTTTTAGCTCAATAGTGTTCTTGTTGAGTTCAAGTTCGATTAAAATCGTTCTTGCTGGCTCTTTTGTTTCTTCTTGAAAGATGTCAAAGGATAGCGAACTTTATTTTGCCCAACTTTCTTGAAAATTTGTCTCTTATTGAGTTGCGGTTATCATTTTTTGGCATTCCTCAAATCGGTTTTCTTGAAAATAGTTTCATTTTATTGTCTTTACCTTTCTCAGATGAAGCTTCTAAAATGTCGTATGTCTTCCTTATAAGCCTTTTTAAATTTGTTCCAATTCACTTTCTTCTATTCTTTCTTCCGTTTTCCTCCTCTTTTGTCTCCATTGATTTTCAAGTTCCATTTCTTTAGAATGAGATTTATGTAGCAAGTTGGCTTTTAAATTAATGTTCTAAAGTGTTTTTCGGTTACATTTTAAAGTCGTATGTTAGTGAACGCCGTATGTTGTTCTAAGTTGTGTTTGTTTATCAACATCTGATGTAAAACACGTATTATTTGATAATTTTCCTTTTGAACTTTTGCTTTGTTGATTACATTTTTAGTTCAGTCTTACATTTCGATTAAAAAAAAACTATCAACCAAGTGCTGTCTACTGTGCTTGGGCATGATCTATTCCGGCCCATTTTGCTTGCCCAGCGGTTCCTCTACTTTCGGTTAGATTCTCTCGTTGTAAAGGCAGCCATCATGTAAATTCTCTTTATTAACTGTTACGTATAATTTGGCACCGTTGTGAGTCCAGGACACGATATTTTTGAGTGCGTTGATCACCACTGAAGTGTTTTTTTTGCGTTACACAAAACAGGCAAGGCTTCTTTAACTTAATTTGTTTTTTGAATTACTGATACAAAAGTTTTAAATGCTTCCAAATTCCATACCCATGCGGTTACGTAGGCTTCTATAAACGCAGCTCTTGTAACTAATTCCTTTGCCCTCCAGAAGCTTAGTCCTTCGGCGTGCTTTTGACCAAAAGTTTAACCGAAATAGACATTCATTTTTATAGTTTTAGTATTCTAATCCTAAACTGTTTTGTTTCAGTGTCCATTTGGTCATGGAAAGGTACCCTGTCATCTCAGAACGAAAAGCTTCAACTCGGTATTTTATCGATGATACCAAGATAGAGATACTAATTTAAATCGAATTTTGCTACCACGTTCGAAAACATTGTTAAAAATATGCTACGAGTTTGAATGACAGTTTGAATTAAGACCAACTGAATTGCCAGATCAGCCGGGAAAAAAAGGTTTAAGAAATACAAGAAACATCAAATTGCAAGAATGATGCGGTAAGGATTACGAGAAGAGCCAAATTGCGCGAGAAGTGAGATTTGGATTTGAATAGAGCCAAATTACGAGAAAGATACGGTTTGGGTTACGAGAGGAGCCAAATTGCGCGAGAAATGAGATTTGGATTTAAATAGAGCCAAATTACGAGAAAGATACGGTTTGGGTTACGAGAGGAGCCAAATTGCGCGAGAAATGAGATTTGGATTTAAATAGAGCCAAATTACGAGAAAGATACGGTTTGGGTTACGAGAGGAGCCAAATTGCGCGAGAAATGAGATTTGGATTTGAATAGAGCCAAATTACGAGAAAGATACGGTTTGGGTTACGAGAGGAGTCCAATTTTAAGAGAGTTTTTGTTCAAATTACGAGAAAAGCCAAATTTTGCGAAAGATTAAGTGCAAGCAACGAGAGAAGCCATATTATGTATGGAGGCAAATTTTGAAAAGAGCCAAATCACGAGAAAAAACACGCTTTGAGTTACGAGAGGAGCAAAATTTTAGAAATGTGTTTTAAATGAAAAATGAATTGAAGTTGTGGTTTTAGTTATGAGAGGTACCAAATTACAAGAAAGTTAAAATTTGAATTAAGTGAATATAGGACTTCAATCACAATAGCAGCCAAATAAGGAGAAAGATATCATTGGATTATCGAGTAAAGCCAATTATGAAAAGATACGGTTTAAATTATAAGAGGAGCCGAATTACGAAAAAAAGTTTGAATATAGTGGGAAAGTAATGATGTCACCTAAACCGTTTTCTAGACAATTTCTAATGTTGACGACATGACCTTAAAAACATAGAATTACCTCATCTGTCAGAGATTGTCTCAGATAAGTCTACATGAGCACATACTTTTCTGAAACTTATGAACCGTGCCATAACATTCAATCCCGCTGACTCCCGTTTTTAAAAAACCAAAAAGTCCCGTCCATTGCCGGTGTCATATGCATTTTGGTTACCTTATGCATTTTGGTCCGGGTAAACAAACGCATGACAATTTTGGTTATGCAAAAGCGTACCCATGCACTTAAACAATAGGGTACCAAAACGAATGGTGGAACTTAGTATGCAACACTGTCCGGGTACACAAACGCATGGCAATTTTGGTTATGCAGAAACGTACCAAAGCATTTAAACAATAGGGTACCACAACGAATAGTGAACTTTAGCATGCGAACCGGTCGAATGTTCTGGTTCATATTGTTCAGAATGTAAAGAACAATTGAACTATTTTTATAAAAGGGATGCAAGTAAGAATTGTTGCTGTGATTTCCGTTGTTAAGTTTATGCAAAAAAGTACAACATTAATGGTGACTCCAAACTTTGCGTGATTGACAAGTGTAAATATTAAACTCTTGAAAACGTATCAAAACATCGCACAATGATGAAATCACACGATCTGAAACACATTGCGTTTCACAATGTTCCATTTTATCATAGGGTACCCAAACGCATATTACACCCTGGAATATGTTGAAATGACAACTCCAAATGGTTTGTTTCTACTATAAAATCAATTGAGGTATTACTGTAAGAACTTGAAAGTTTTTTTTGTAGTAAATAGGCTGTACGTAAGATGTGAACTTTAGGACTTGATTGTCAAAATTTCTTATCTTTAATACTGATGTTAGCTTTGTTTTGCTTTACATTCTATGATTTTCTTCTACTCTATCGTGTTGTCTAAATTTTCAAAAGGTTTTTTTAGCGATCAGGTAACTATCATTATGCTGGGCTCGAGATAGAATTATACGTTTGCAGCGAGATGTGACACAAGACAATAAAAACATTTGAAAATAATTCTTTTAGCTCAATACCTAGAGATGAAAGCAGATTTTGGGCGTCAATTTGCTATTGTGTAGACACATAGGGCTTGGGACGCCGTTCGTAAATATTCCCAACAATGACTTATCAATATTATTGAAATATGAGTTATTTGCGTGTTCTGTGGAGTTAGTCCGCTTAGACCCCGCCAGGATCCGTGATTGAACTGCAAATCATTCATAGCAAACGCTGTTGTTAGTATGATCGTTGTAGCACAGAAAGGTAAAAAGAGCAGTGTTTTGTGATTTTTATGCCAATAGCCTAGTGCGCGCAGCTGGTTCTCGAAGCCAACTTAATTATGGTATCCCACTTTCATGAAAATTAGGAAAGGAATGCTTAGCTTCTCCGGGATTTCTGTAACTGCTGAGAGGGCTCGGCCGTTTTCAATTACAAATAAAATACAGTTATGTTTATTTAAATCACGAGAAAAATACGCTTTTTCGTTGTTAGATACGTTGCGAGAGGAGCAAAATTATTAGAAATGTGTTTTGAATGAAAAATGAATTGAAGGTGTGGTTTTAATTATGAGAAGAGCCAAATAACGAAAAAGTCAATATTTGAGTTACGAGAAAAGAAGATTTTTTTTATTTCTTTTATAAATACTATCATTTGTTCATCTAACTATTCTTTATTACTTATACACTCAGAATTTTCCCTCTACATTCTAGCCAAAAATTGTCATGAAATAAAACAATTGCTTCTTATAAAAGAGCATGTCTCGGCATTATTCCTATTTCTCTCATCCTCCCACTTACCAAAGTAAGCCTTGGAGTTTTGGTCGAACTTTAGATTTTGCTCTGAAGAAAAGATTAACTGTACTCAATATTCGTAAATCTCATAAAGGCTTCTCGCCTACGCACATGAGAAATCCAGTTGTATACTTTGACTTCTACTAAATCTGTGCAAGTAGTCGTAGACAGCCCAAAAGTTGTCATTTTCACCTGTTGGTACAGATTCTTGCATTTTCCACCTAGCATCTGCCACCTTTTTGTCAATTGTAAGGTGCGAATGAATTTTCTTATCAACAAAGATTCTTAATTGCTTTTCATAATCGTATATTGAAGACAAATTGAATCTTATCATCGCCTGAATGGTTACATCTTCGTAGAATCTACTTTCTCACGCCAATTGTATCTATTAATCGTGCGATCAAAGCTCGATGCCTATTTCTTTGAATTTTGACACTTGGAAGTTACGTGTTAGATATAGGACAAAATCGCACATCGTGGTTTGATAAAATTACTCGAAAATACTATCATACGTGGATATATTTGTGCCTGGGAATTCCCATTTTCTTCGCCAGGAGTTGGCTGAAATTGTCACTAATTTTTCCAATCAAATTTAAGAACATTTGGCCACTTGCACATGGAGTAACTAGCTGAATACGTTTCATATTCTAACAATTTCACTCAAAGTGTTTGTGCAACGATAAGACAAGGATCTAATATTATTTTATAAGGGATCGTATTATCTTTTGTTAAGCCCAGCGCACACGGCAGACTTTTGTCTTTGAAAGAGGAAGATTTTTGTCTTTTGCATTTCAAAGACAGAAATTTGCCGCGTGTGCTTGTCACACGGACAAAGATTTTCGTCTTTCAAAGACAGTCTTTGAAATTAAACATGTTTAATTTTCGAAGACGGTCTTTGAAAGACAAAGACTAAAGTCTGGCGAGTGCGAATTACAAGGAGACAAAAATCTTCCTCTTTCAAAGACAAAAGTCTGCCGTGTGCGGTGGGCTTTAGCTGCAAGGAGACGCTGAATGTGACTATGTTATTTCTATTCTTCGCTGGATGGATCTCGCCTTGATTGACATGCTCCACTCCTTTTTGATGATAGGCTGGATCTAAGTTTAGCATTTTTTGCTTGGTGCAATAGCACGCTTTTATCCTTGCACAAAGCCTTTAAGCTAGCAGAGACTGCAAAGTATGCGTTTCTTCCCAATAAAAGTCAAGAGTTGTACAATGTTACAAGTGCAGAATTTTATTAGTAACAAGGTGACTCGAATATTGAACGAGCCAGTTTATGGTTGCTTAAAAGAGAGAAGGCGAAATAGTGTAAAGGAGCCTGTTGCAAAAGATCAAAGAATTGGCATTTGTGGTGGAAGAACACATGGCATTGACATCTTCTAAAGCAGTGCATTCAAACGGTTCCTGAGCCGAGCCACCTTTTCTCTTTGAAATTATCCCACGGCACAGACAATGTCAAACAATGCCAAACAATGTCCATACATTCTTTTTTATCAATGTTCACTTACAGCGAGTATGATTGCTATCACAGTAAATACGTTCTACAATAACAAGATATTGCAGACATGTTTTAGACCATACTTGCACTCGCACGGGATTATTTCGAGTGTCGAGCTACTTCTGGAACACGAGATTAGGCACTGTTCATACGATACCGGATTTATTTCGTATTGGATCACTTTTCATATCGCATTTTTGATTTGTTTAGGGAGGGTTGCCCTTCAACGGAAGTTATTTTTCAAGGGGCCCTCCAATAAAAACTAATTACAATATACAACTAAAATACTACAAAATAAAAAACCATAAAATTAAAAACATATTTACAATTACATGGTATTATACAGTATAAAAGAAACTAGTCAACCCTGTATTGATTTTTTGAACCACCCAGGGAGGATGCCGTCTTGGACTCAGCAGGAAGGCTTTTCCATAGTTTAGCTCCCCGGAAAGAAAAGCATTTTTGTCAATTTGCTGACCTTTCCTTTGGCAACCTTAAATCAGTCTCAGTGTTCCGGAGGAGCATGCTGAGTTGTTGGTGAAGAGGTTAGACAAGTATTGAGGAGCCAAATCATAGAGCGACTTGAAGACCATTGTTTTAGTCTCATTGCCAATGAGCTCTTCAATGGTCTTCCAGCCCAACTCTGCAATAAGTGGTGTGCTTGGGTTATCATACCCTGGGTACCAGACTCACTATATAAAATAATAGAGAGTCTGGTCTAGTGCGCCCCATTCTCGTTCTGGTGAACTTACTTGAAAGAACTGATGTCTATTTAACAGACTAGGCCTGTGAAACAAGACTGTCAGATAAATAATAAAGAAACTCAGTAGTCAGAGGAGTTTTGGGAAATCTTAAAGAAAATGTATTTTATTTAGTTCTTTAAAGTCGACATCATTAATACAGTGATAATAGACTTTTCTCCCTCAAGATTCCAATCGAATCAGGTTTAAAACGCCATTTGGCAGCAAAAAACATGTGCGAAGCATGAAATTAAAGTTAGCACAATGCAGTTATTAAATGTTAATCATCATCAAATTTCGTATACAACTTAAAATAAGTCTTTTGTAATTTTCCTCATAAATTGTGTGTACTTTGAACGTCTACTTCCTCACTGTGAAGGCAGCGCGCTTGGACACCGCGGCGGTTAGAATCATCACGTTGGAAGGTCACCACAGCAAATATGGCCAATACGACAAGCGAAGCCCCGTATGCCAGGCGAAATATTAGCTATAACTGATCAACTGTGTTTGTTGTTGTTTGTTCTCGGCGCCTTGCGGTGCTTTCTTATCTACTGCATTTCACTACAAGGCCTAATTTCTTTGCAACGAGAGGCACTGAAATATCAGAGACTTTCCAAAGCCAGTTGGCAATATGGCGAAGGTGTCTCTTCTCTTTACAAACAAGGCTTTCAATGCTGTTCTGTGTTCAGTTCCACAACATGCGGAAAATATTCTTTGAGTACAGTTTTAACAGCATCTTCAAACTCAATCGTTACGGTCGCTAGCATTTATTTATGTTCTGTTCTGTTCAATGTTTTACACCAGAGCTAAGTTATCTGCCTGGTGGATATGACCATTAAATGAGTTCTTGCCACATTCAATGGAAGCTTATTGCCTCACAACCAAGTCTCCAATTTCTTGAGATCGCTATTTATAGCCTCATTTAGCTGAGTCAAGTCGTGAGACTGGTAGCAAAGACTGGTATCATCAGTATACATAGTCACAGAGGAATTTTGGATGGCCAGAGGAAGATCATTGATATAGATGAGAAATAGAAGAGGGCCGAGGCATGAACCCTGTGACCTATGGCCTGTTGTCCAGTCATCACTCATTTTAAGCAAACAAGTTAGTGAGGAATGTAGCCGAAAAAAACCTGATTGGTCACATGTAAAGAGGTAATTTTCTTTCATATACTGTTACAGCTGGTTGAAAACAAGCTTTTCAAAGAGCTTTGGGATGACTGGCAAGACGGATATGGGACGATAATTAGATTTGTCAGTCCTATCTCCATCTTTGAAAATCGGAGTAATTCTTGCTACTTTCCATGCATCTGGGAACTAGCTAGTTTCAATGGAAGAGTTAAAAATGAAAGCCAGAGAGTTCCCAATATAGGAAAAAGCGAGCTTCAAAAAGTAACTAGAGATATTGTCAATCTCAAAGCTCTTTGTTATTTTAACCTTGGCAAATGCATCCCTGATATCTTTCAGCTCAATTATCTTGAAGTTAAACTTAGCCTTATGTTTGTTAACTTTAGTTTATGTTTGTTTGTTAACGTTAACCTGTTAGAAAAGGATTAGCAGCAGCTTGCATTTTATCTGCTAGATCTCTACCTATAGTTCAAATGAAATTGTTCATTGCATTAGAAACACCTTTTTGTTCCGAGTTTCTGTACCAGATTCTATGAGACAATCAATGCTACTTGACTTTGATCTTATGTTGAGAAGTTCATTAATTGCTTTCCCAGATTCTTTCATATTACCTTGACATGCAGAGAACCTATTGGTATAATGCTGCTTCTTCAACCGAACATTAAGGGCATTGACCTTATTCGGATCTTTCTGTAAGCGTCCATAAGTATTGGGGATTTACCTTTGACTGCTGACATTTTTAGTTTGTCTCTTGTGCGCATCAAATCCTTAAGATCCTTGTCAATCCAGGGGCAATATTTTTCAGAAACCCGCATTTCAATCAAAGACGCATGTTTTTCTATAATCAGAAAAAAAACATTTCAGACCAATTGTTGACAAGCAGATTGATATCATCAGTTTCAGAAAGCATTCGTTCCCAACATATCCCAGAAACATAGAGAGGAATATTTCGTCATTCAAATTTTTCAATTTACGGGTCTTAATCTTTTTGTGACTTTTCTCTACTGCTCCATTAAATTTACGAACGCAGTAAGCTATATAGTGATCAATCAAAGAAACCCCAAGCACTCCGGATTTTATAATGTTTTTGGGACATGTTGTAGCAACATGACTGTTGCAGTG